CGGCCCGGCCCAGTTTTTTTTTTTTTTTTTTTTTTTTATTCTCAATTATTGATTCTTACATTACTCTTTATTTTATTTTTATCCTATCTTCCTTCCTTTTGAGATTGGATCGGTGTTATTTACTAATGGATACATTTTTTTTTATTATATTAATATTTTAAAATATTTATTTGTGGTTGTATTTTGATATTTTTTAGATAATTTATTTTATATATATAATTTAGTGTTCATTAATTTTGCTTAAAACCAATGAAATTATTAATTAAATTATTCAGAAACCACGTGGCAGGTTAAATTTCTTATTTCTTTATTATCAAATTTGTTATTTTATTTCTTCCACTGAGTTCTGTAACTGGCATGTGACACTTTTTATAATGAGTTTATTTTCTTCCAATTTTAATAATTAGTGCATGCATATTATTTGCCTTAGAAGTTAAGTTTGATTCCAATCTCAATTTCAGAAGTCTTTATGTGAAATTTCATTAGATTACATAATCTAATTGCCTATAATATGATTATACATTGACAAATCATTGCACGAACAGAGGTTAATCTAGATAATTATATTAAAATCGTCAATTTGAGCACAGTTTGATAAACAATACGTCAATTATCTTTCTAATTAAAATATTTATTTATTAGGTGAAAAAAATTGACCATATTCATCAAAGTCTACGTTTGTATAAGATTCAAGTATAGATCTAACTTACTCATTAATTCAAACAATATTTACGTTCAATAATTTGTCTCAAAAGATCTGTCAGCAGACTCAGCACCAACACTGTTGAATTCTTGGAACTGTTCTGTTCATTCCAGCAAAATCACTGCAGTATTGGATCTTGAAAATGAACAGCAGAGAGTAAGTTTTTATTATGTTCTTTATTCAAGCTGCTGCTAATCCTTGTAAATTTCATTCCCTCAAATGATATGAGCAGTTAAAAGATGAGAGCATGAGCAAAACGAAAGTGGCAGTCACTTCAAAAGAACAGCTTCTTATGATTATTGAGGTGTACTTAAAATTTGAGTGCACAGAACATTTTCAGATTCAATCATCAATGTATGTAGAAAACTCCATGCCCACTATAAATCACAACAGGAATTTAAAGGGAACATTGATTTAAGAATTACACTTCGAAGTTCCATGTCGACTCTGCAGTTACTTTTGGCCTTTTGGATTCATCTGCCATGTTGACCGATGCTACAATCTGCATAACAAAAGATGGGTTAAAAAGAACTGACGAGAAAGTCTGCATTATCAATATCCTTTTGAATTGAGTAAAAGCATCTAAGGTTGCTACCGCACTCGGTTTGCTGGATAAATAATCAACTACCATGGTAGAGAACTGACTCAGGTGCTAGCCACTACATTTTTATCCCATCCCAGTTACCATTGCCTCCAAGGATAAACAATCTAGTCATGAACTCATAAAACCAGTTCCACTGAAACTACACAGCCCTTTCCAAGATAGCTAATGCCAGAACCTCAGCCTGGAACAACCACTTCAAGCCTGCAGGTATTTTGCCTTCTTCTCAATTGCACCATGTCAGTACATTGCCAATGCTTAAAGCGTGTTAACTACTTATGTAATTCTCTGGAAACACTTTCACCAATCATTTCCCAATATATATATTGGGATTGGTTAGAGAGGGGAACGAAGCATTCCTTATAAGAGTATGGAAATCTCTCCCTAATAGACACGTTTTAAAACCTTGAGGGGAAGCCCAGAAAAAAAGCCCAAAGAGGACAATACTGGCGGGTGGTGAGCTTGGGCTGTTACAAATGATATTAGAGTCAAGTTTTGGGCGTTGTGCCAGCGAGGACACTGGTTGTTAAGGGTGTGGAAACATCTCCCTAGTAAACGCATTTTAAAACCTTGAGAGAAAGCCCGAAAAGGACAATATATGCTAGCTTGGACTGTTTACATATATATTGGTGTTTAAAACTACCTAATACTCGTGAAAAATATTTATGGTAAAAGAAAGCATTTCATCTCAATACATAACTCCAAACTGCATCATGAAACTCGACCCCAACTATTAGTATATTGACTACTTCAAAACAAAATAACAGTTAACAATTTTGGAAATGCAGAGCCTAACTCAAAGACTGTGACTATCCTGTTTGTTTGTTTTTATATCCTGCAGTTGTGCATGGCCCAGGCTAATAAATATGTCTTGAATTTCCTCAAACCTCTCACGTGGGAGAGGGAGATTTTTCAAAGATAAGATGATAAAACCTCCAAATAATACTCACCACAGACCAAACAAAAATGTATTTTCAAAAAACCATGTCATCAAACATCAGATTATCTGAGGCTAAGTGAGAAGAAAATCAAGTAATTCCTACTTAAAACCCGATGTCCCATTTATATGTTGAAACCAGGATGAGGAAACAATCCAAGGGGTTCGTTTTCTTTTAAAGGTCCAATGAAATAGTTAACCATATATTTAAAGTTCAGACTAATTACTATTTGAAGGAATAATTCAAGATTCTCATAGAACTCCCTGGTCGTCACTTTCTTGAAAGGAAGTCTCCCTTCCATTCTCTTAAGAACCATAGTATCAGGCCTACTCCCACTAATCCGTAGGGAGATTCTGAGCACCCCAACATTGGCACCACGAGAATCATCCTCTAGGGCTCTCTACTTTCATTATAGGGTATACATCATCCTCTGGGGCTCTCTACTTTCATTATTGGGTATACTGGACAATGGATGTTTGTTTTTACACTCTGAGCTGAATGAAAAAAATTCATGGATTTTATATCCCATGGGAACTTCCAGGCCAGACATTCTTTCAAATAAGTGCTTACTGTTTGGCCAACGGTATAAACAGCTAGTCTAGTGTAATAGTCCAAATCCACCGCTAGCAGATACTGTCTGCTTTGGCCTGTTATGCATCATCGTCAGTCTCACAATTTTAAAATGCATATGCTAGAGAGAGGTTTTCACACCCTTATAAAGAAGGTTTTGTTCCCCTCTCCATACAACGTGGGATCTCACAATCCATCCTTCTTCGGGGCCCAACGTCTTCGCTGGCACTCGTTCCCTTCACCAATTGATGTGGGATTTCACAATCCATCTCATTCAGGGCTTAATGTCCTCGTTGGCACACTGCTCAGTACCTAGCTTTGATACCATTTGTAACAACTCAAGCCCACCGCTAGTAAAAATTGTCCATTTTAGCTTGTTATGCATTACCGTCAACCTCACAATTTTAAGACGCGTCTGTTAGGGAGAGGTTTCCATACCCTTATAAAAAATATTTTGTTCCCCTCTCCAATCGACGTGTGATCTCACAATTAGACACAGCTAGAGTTCAATTTCATTTTAACACTACAGAAGATGTGCATTTCACGTGTATGGTCAGATAGAATTACATTATACCAAAGTCTACAATAGTGGTTTATCCCTAGGAAACTTTCCTGTGCAGAAAAAGTACTTGAAACATCATACGAGGTTCCTCCTTTTTGGAGAATAATCATATCCAGAGATTTTAATTTGCGCAATTAACGAGCATTCAAAAACTATAGAAATATAATCACAAAATTACCTACCTTGAAATTTCCGCTTGACTTCAAATTCCTTGTCCATTCTAATCCCAGTGCCTTGTTTGTAGTCTGGTACGTAGCCTTTAATACATCATCGTCGTAAACCTTCCTTGAAATGGAGAAGTCCCACGAATTCTTTGCAACATCGTACGAAGGTTCAAAAGTGGTTGCATGTTTGTGCACGTAGGTGTACTTCAATTTACAATTTCCAGAGCCAAGAGCGTGATTAGCAGAGAACTTGTTAGCCGAATCAAGGACTAGGTTCCCGTCGAGAACTGTTCTATTATCGGCCCAACTATGGATGTAAGTCAAATTCAAAGGCTTCTCCGCAACCTTGACAGTATTCATAAACTGAAAGCGAAGATCCTGTAAAATAGCATGCAATAACGAAACGAGTTAGCACGATATTGAATTTGATGATGCAAGGGGGAAAATGAATCCTAGAGAAACCTAACTCAGGCTTCCAGCAAAAAAAGAGATTAAATTCAGCAATACAATGAATCAATTTCAGGTCCAGCCTAAAAGAATTATATACAATTTCCGCGAGCTCCAGTGCCAAATTTATAGTAGATTAAACCAAACGGTTCAGACTGATAGGTAAGATTGACAATAGCAAATTCCACTCCCACCGAGATGTTTCGATTCGTGAAATTCTCATAGCCATCAAACAGCCATGAGAATCTAAAAAATGGAACAGTCGAAGCACCTTTTTGGGAACATTGTAGTCGACTATGAAGAAGCCTGGTTTCTCGACGGCAAGAGAAAGACCGTTTAAGCTAGGGCCGTTGATGATTGTGGCGTCGGTGATGGATGCTCGGAGCTTGACATCGCCGGCGTTAACAGCCAAAGTTGAGGCGGCGCCGCTTTTGTCTGCGTCGTACTTGGTCTTCAGAGTTGCCTTCATTGTTAGAAGGAAAGGAGATAAGCAAGATATCCAGATGATGCAAAACAAAGTTTTCGTTTTTTCCCATTTTAAACCTGCTGCCTAACTTGCCCTTGTCCAATCAAAACACGGAAAATAAAAATTCTTTTGTTTTTTTTTTTTTTTAAAGCATTTGGGTTGCCACTTTTTTTCTAATAATTATATTTATTTTATAAAATATTTAAAATAGTGTTTTTCATGATTCTTTAGGAATTTTTTTCATAATTTAATAATATCGTTTTCATTTTTTGCTTTTGAAAAATAACTTACAATCCTTATTTCTATTTTCTATTGCTTTATTACATACTTTTTAAACTAAGTTCTCAAAAAATCAAAGTCAAATTTTGAAATTTATTTTGTTTCAAATAATATATTTCAACTATTTCAAAAAACACATTTTAAATTTAAAAAAGGTTTAAAAAATACCTCGAACATTTTTTAAATTCTCATTAATACTTTTTTTTTTATAACTTTAAAAAAACTATTTTTACCATTAGAACCGACTTTTTGGAATATTCATGAGCTTTCAAAAATAATATTAAAAAGTTTGGAGATAATTTATAAGGTGTCCATAGCTAATTTAAGTTAAAAAAAATTATGTTTTTTTATAAATGTCAAAAATGTTAATTCTATTTTTAAATGTCCATAGATATTTTTTAAACTTAGTATTAAAGTAATAATATTTTTTAACTTTTTTAAAAAGTCAAATATATTAATGAACTACTAAAGTTCCATAATATTTGTTATTATAACAAAGTACTACTTCTTTTATTGGTGTGAGTAAGATATTTTTTAAGTTTTTATTGAAATTTTAAAATTATTATTCAATTTTTAAAATTTTTTAAACAAAATAAAAAAAATTAGATGCATTTTTATTAATTTAGTCTATTAAATCATAAGAATAAAAATATGAAAAAATCGGTTTAATTTATTGGTGAGTCGAAAAAAAGGGAAGTATTATGAATGAGAGGAAAATTGGAAAGCGCAGATGGCTCGCACGCCGAACTCCAAACCCTAATGCCCATGAATGCTATAAATAGCAGTGTCCAGGCTCTATCCACCGCGTTCGCCGTCTACACTGAATTCCCGTTTCAATTTCTTCGTGACTTCAATTACTCGTTTGGTTGCCTTCATCCCACTGAGTTTTGAAATCTTGAACCCTAATTTTCAGTATCTCAACGTCGGATACCCGATCTGATAGGGTTTGAGCCAAACTTCTTTCTACTCATTTCTAATTCTGCTCTTTTCAAAATTCGATATGTTTGCGTTCAATTTCGTCAAGTTTGTTTCGATTTCGATTGTAGATTAATATTGAACTATTGCTTTCTGCTACATGAATGATCTAAATGCATCTGTTCATCCTCTCCTTGACATCGTTTAGAAATATCAAGGGGATAATACAGGTGCTAATATCGATAGGTTGGCTTACCAGCTCATTTCATATTTTTGATCTTTGTCTTGGAGTCAAATGGACCTACCGAAATATCGGCAACAATGATTATCCATTATTTGCCCCACTTCTTTATTTCATTTTGCTTTAATTTTGTGAATATTCTGCTCGTTACAATGGCATATGATGAATAATTCATTTACGCTTATTGATATACTGATATTCTGTGCTGACACAAAACTCCGCTTATTATCTGATGCCATTAAAGCTTTCTATTTTTCGTTGTTTTTCTTTGTTTTGTTGGAGATTTATTTCTTTTAAAGGCAGGCAAATGATGTAGACAAATTCTTATCCTACACACTGAAGTAAATGTAGACTATAACTCCGCTTATTATCTGATGCCTTGCCATTTTTTAGAATAAAACTTAGATTCATTTGATTGCTCAATGATTTTTCTTGTTTTATCGCTTGGTAAATTATAGTATTTGTTCTCTGTTTCACTTATGAATTGCGATTTCGTCCTAGTATAATCTCAGTTTAGTTAGGCGTCAGTCAGCATTTCAATTTCATTCTCATCTATATGTGAATCGCACCACCAATGAAGAGAAATAGCAGACGGGCGGTCTGAATTGATGCCGTGTTGATTGTCTGCAACTCCCATCTTCATGGGTTCCTGAGGTGTAATCAATCTTTAAAGGTGGTTGAGAAATTGCTCTGTTTCTATTTGATTTTGCTATGATGAAGTTTGCCAAAATATGTCTGGACATATGATATTTGTCATGATTAGTTTGGTGCATTCTTCTGAGCCTATGTTTTGTTTTTAATTACACATTCTCTCTATGGATTCTTCATGGTTTGATTTATTGAGTCCGTCAGTGTATCCGATGAATTGAGTTCAAGTTAGAGACATCAGATTTTGCTGGAAATGATCGGTCTTCCATCAATGATATCGCTATGTAGCACGTAGAATTTGTAGATTGGAAGTCCAATTTATATTCTCCCATGCTGGTGGTTTCCCGAGATTGTTGCAGCTGCTTCTATATCCATTCTGATGACGAACGCCGATCAGTTGGAAATTATACATTTCAATTGAATTTTGTTTTAAAATTGTTGATGTACAATTTTCATTGCATTACTTCTGAATTGTATCATTTTACATTAAATATCAATAAAAGCAACTACGTTTAATACATAATTTTTGTTATATCCTATTTACATATTTGAATTCGAATCAAAGTTAATTCCGTTGACACTAAATTCCAAATATTTTTATGAGAAATCTTTGGTAGAGTAAACGCTAAAATTTGAATAATTTCCTTTCAAAAAGAGTGTCAAAACTGCGGATACTAAAATAAGTTCTACACTAATAAAAATAGAAATTCGAACAGATGCTCAAATAAAATATTATTACAATCATCTCTAGTTTTTGTGTTTTTCTTCATTCTTAGTTCTAACCCCAACCCCCTTCCAATATTAGTGTCAGTTCATCACAATTTATTCAATTTTTAAGTGATTGGCACAGCTTACCTAATATGATGTTTGTACCGATTAATATCATCACTAAAATTATTAGAAGGGATGAACATTTTCACTCGATCTATTCTCATTCACAACAGTGAAGAAGCCAACCATATGTTGACAGGCATGGTGTCATCGTTTTAGCCAATCTGGAGTTCCTGTAGAACGAAGTCGCGGAGAGGGTTTCTTGTTGAGGTTACGAGGAGGAAGACCAAGACAACAAGTGAGAGAAGAAGCAGGATGGAGATGAGGGAAAAAAAAAAAAAAGAAAAAAACACATTCCGTTGCCGGGAATCGAACCCGGGTCTCCTGGGTGAAAGCCAGATATCCTAACCGCTGGACGACAACGGATTTTGATTTTAGTCTGACAAAATAATAATTAAGTTTATAAAATAATAAAAACAATAAGTAAAAATCAATTAAAAAGTTACACCTTTTGACAAATATTGCGATTTAATCTTAAATTCTAACGAACGTTAGATTTTTGTTTAAAAGTAAAAGTAAGAGTTTTCTTTAGGTATTTATTAAGAAGCTTCAATTTTTATCCAAACTTATGAACTTTATTATCTCTTTAACTTGCTTTTTACCAATATTAGCAGATAAATTGTTAACGGGTGGATTGGGGTATTACATAAATTTAACAAAAAATCAAAACACTAGTTTACTATTATGATCTAAATAGATGAAGTTGAAAGTTTGAACAAACATTCCATTGGTTTCTATCTAATCAGACTTGAGAAAGAATCTTGGAGAACTAGAAACATATTTGAAGATAACAAAATTTCCATGTCACGGCACACACTGTTATCATCATCACGCCATACTTTTGGTTTTGCAAAGTTTTTCGATTCCACCTGTTGGAATTGCTCTTGCATCCACTGTAGTCAGTATTTGAGGCACTGACATCCCTCCTGAGATCACAATTTCTGCACCCAAAAAAGGGGAACGTCAAACTCCATCTTCATAACCTCTCTGGTTTAAATATTCATTAAGGTTTAGTATCCATTTGGATCGACTTTCTAAGTACTTTAAAAGATTTTCTTCACCTAAAAGCACTTAGAAACTCGATCCGAACGAGCCTTTTAACTCGTATGGTTTCTTCTATGATATCATTAAACAGTGTAATCTCGAGAGAAGAGAAGAGAAGAGAAGAGAAGAGAGCATACCAATTCCCTCTCGGACAGACAGATTAGGCCTGAGGATGTCCGTGGAACTCATAAGAAATATGTCTCCAAGATAGAGATGATTAGTGGGCACATAAACACAATACAGTTCTTCCTCTTCCATTCTGCTCTGAAGAACAACGGCAGAAGTGATGAATCCAAAGGCATACTCTCCACCACGGGGGTGCCTGATAATTGCTACTTCCTTGAAGGCATTTGAGGTTTGATCTGAGGCCGCCGATTATCAGACAATCAGTCAAATACCAAAAGAAATGCTATTCTTTCAATGCTTTTGTTTTCTACCTGGTGATATTGCAGTACTAATTTGCTTCGAGGCCGTGTAAATATAGCTTACGAGTGGCATTTTCTTAATGAACCATTCACCAAGAGTAAGAACAGAAGCTCCCAGCCAAGATGACATGAAAATACCAACAAGAAAGATGAATGTAATGGAGGTAATAAATCCAAGCCCTGCAGAAATTTCTACTCAAAATCAACTGCGGAAAATCTCTTCGAAATTTGTTGTTGTTCTGCTCTGAACTTACCAAAAACATAGATCCCTAAGTGAGCATATATCGGAGAGAAGAAACCATCAACAAAACGAATGAAGCCCCACGTGATGTAGAATGTAATAGCAATTGGCATAAGAATTACACTGCAAACAGAGCCCCTTAATACGCTAAGGAGAAAGAAAAAGATGCATTAATCTGGAAGAACAGCAGAAGAGTTACCATCCTGTCATGAACTTCTTGGAAGCCCAGCTGCGAATGACTTTAGCAATGGCCTAAAATATCGATGAATCGAAGCCTTAGTTCGATAATGGCGTCGACTCACTGCATCTAACACTCTCATGGATTTCAAGCATTACAGAGTAAGAAATCAATCGAAAGAACAAATACATTTAACGTTAAGGTTAATCAATCGAAGAATCAAGATGGAGAAGCGAAAACGGACCTCTCCGCCGGAGTGATGATTAGATAAAGCGACAGCCGGAACGGAGGAAGATTTGGAGGCTCCATTTTCAGAAACTGTAGCGACTGCGACGGGGATCAGGAGCCCTAGATCTCTCTCCCTCTCTCTTGTACTCATCTCTCTGTTTCCTTTTCTCTCTCTCCACTTCGATTTTGGAGTCATATTTTTTGTTTTTTGTTTTTTTTTTTTACATCCAATTTCTCTCCCCGCCAACAATATTAACGAACTATTCGGAACTTTCAACTGATTTTCATTTCAATTTTCAGAACTATCTATTGAATTGAATATCAAGTCCATGGTTTCAATTACGCATAATTGAATTGAATAGTCTAATTAATAATTAAGAGCCAAAAACACCGATTTAACTACGCATAATTATGATTTACAACGGCACGCATCCATAGCTTGAAGACGATAATATATATATATATATATATAAATTCAAAACCATCAGGAAGTATACATATTAATGGAGATGGAAACTCGAATATGGATCTTCGTGATTTCCATTGAGCTGCCTTCTCATCACGTGCGCCCTCCTCCAGGATAATTGCAGCCATTGTAGCCTACATTAACAAACAGAGACTAATGTTAATGGTGAGTTTAGATTCGATTAGGGTTATTGAGTGAAATGAAATGGGGCTCTCACTTGGGTTGTTGGAAGAAAGTGTGGCGGACTGTGAGAAGTCACACGTCGATGGATCCCCGCCGGCGGTTTGGAAGAACAGGTTCATGGCGTAGGCGGCGTGTGAGGCCAAGGTGTTTGGCTCGAAGCACGCGCCGGCGGGTTGAATGGCGCTGCAATCCAGCCCTCCTCCGCAGGCGTAGTCCAAATTCGCTTGAAGTTGGTCATCTGATACGCCGCCCTTCGGCACGCACCATGACCCTCCTCCTCCTGCCTTTGGCTTTGGGCTTGCTGGTGCTTTCGTTGATGGATTTGCTGGGGCCGATGGAATCGGAGTGCTCTGCCCATTTTTTGAAAGACCAACGTCGTACGCCATTGTAAGATCAGACTTGAACAATCCGAAAGCTCTCTCAGAACCAGGCCCAGGCTTCAAATCTTCGTCGTACAGTGCAAACAGATACGTATCAACTGATTTCCCCGGCATCAATGGCGTTCCGACCATGGAACGAAGGTGCGCAATCAGATTCCCGTTGAATGCCTTGGCGTTTTCCAGACTTGGGCCCACCTCGTCGCCGTCTCCTTTGTACGGCCAACCGGTCTCCGCCACCACAATCTCTACGTTCTTGAAACCCATTGAGTTCAATGCAGATCTTATGGCGTCCACCTGAGCGTCGAACATGTTCATGTACTTGATATTGGTGTTCGTGTCGATCCGGCCGGCGTTGGGCTCGAAAAGACAGAAGGCCAAAGTATCCGGTCGTGGATCGCTCTGGTAAGCGAAGTATGGATATGGGTTAATGGTGAATGGCGATCCAGTGGCGTTGTTGAACTCCAATAGCCCCTTCAACACGCTCATATAGTCCGGGTGGAAGAGCCCGGACGACGGCGGCTCCGATTGGCGAAGCACCGCCATGGAATGGACAGTGGAAATCTTAATATCATTCCCCAGAGACATCGAATCGAGCGCGTTTTGAAGATTCTGAATCGCCGGCACGAGCTGGTTCATTAAATTTTGATCGTTGGATGTTATCACCTCGTTGCCTACCGTGATGAGAATGATTTTACTCGCCGGATAGAAGGGAGCAACATTAGCGTTAACCCAATTTTTAGCAAAATTCGGGTCGGACGCTAGGGCTGGAATGTCACCGTTCGCAGCGCCTATCACAATTCCGATCCCTGTGTTTGCTAAAGCTTTGATGATGGCCGGATCAGCGCCATAGAGTCGAACTTTCTCGATCGAAGTAGATTGAAGTAGCTTAGCCGTCGACGACGGCGGAGGAAGGTTATCGGCGACTTGACCGTAGTTGATTCCGATGAACGATTGCGAATCTGCAAAACAGAGCATGTTCAATTAAAAATTCGAAAGCCGGAACAGTTCTTTCGATTCGTGTTAATGAACAGATTTTCCATCTCCGTTCTTTTGAATGAAAAATTCAAGCGATCAAAGTGGATAAAAGATTCACAGATAACGACGAGTTAAGAAACCAGAAACTTACAGGCGATGTCAGTGACTAGCAGAAAGGTAAAGAAGAAGAAGAAGACAGTAGAGCGAAGAAGAGTGGAAGCCATGGCTGTTGAGTTCAAAGCAGACATGTTGGAGATGGGTTGCAGAGGAACGAGAGATTAAATAGATGACTGAGCAGGGAAGAGGAAGACGACAAGGGTAATATTGTAAAATGAATATTCAGTGGGCCCCCTATCTTTTTCAAAAGCGGGCTGCCCGACAAGTGCCGTGAATGATCTCCGCCGTTAGAGAATTGGAAGTAGAAGATGGCGGAGTCGTGGAGGTGTTTGCGCCGGTAACGTGGATATGTTAATTTTGAAATGACCGAAGTACCCCTCTTTCTTGACCGTTGCCCAACTTCCGTTGGCAATTGAATTCTGTGAGCGGAAAATAAAATAACCATCTTTTTATATTAAATCATATAATAAAACAATATATTAAATCATATAAAAATCTTTACGCTTTTACTTAGCTATTAAGAAATATTACCGGTCTAATTAGGCAAACGTGACCCACAGGCCCCATTTTTGCAACGTACAAAGGTGCTTTGAGCAGCGGGAGAGCAAAGCATTTGGATGAAAGCGCGGGGTTGGAAAAAGCTTGGATTCTTGATGACTTGTTAAATAATGGTGACTACTTTATGATGAAAGTTAAGGAGGGCGAGCTTTACGATGGTGGGATTGATTGGTGACGAAGCAACTTCAATCTGCTCCATAGACTTTGAATCTCGGCCGTCTCCTCTCAGCCTTACTCGTGGAATGTAACACCCACTTTTGAATATCTTTATGTACGCTACGTCTGCCTCTAATCTTTAGCTTAATTCGTCGTTCGTAAGGGTTTTGCATTCTTTCTCAAAGGATAAGAAACATTGTGTTTGAAGTATTTGTGCTACGTGATTGCGTTCGGTTGTTTATGTCTGTATAACTTGTTATGTTTTTGGCCGTTACGTATCGCCGTCGATTTTACTGTTTTAAAACGAGTCTACTCTGACTAGTTTCTTGCACTGATGACTAACTCTGATACTATTAGTAACAGCACAAGCCCACCCTTAGCAGATATTGTCCGCTTTAGCTCGTTACATATAGCCGTCAACCTCACGATTTTAAAACATGTCTATTGTTTCCACACTCTTATAAGAAATATTTCGTTTTTTTTTTCTACAACCGATGTGAGACTTTACCATCTGCCCCCAAGACACCCTTATAGAGAAGGGTTCGTTTCTCTCTCTAATGGATGTGGGGTCTCACAAGAAGTATGAAGATTCAACACTGTTATAACTTAGGTTGTCTAGAATTACGAAGTACAATTCTGTTCTTCTGTTGTGGGCTGATCAGGTGCTCTGAAGCCTCATGCAAGTTCACAAGCATCCTCAAAGACTCCTCCAAATCCATGGCTCCCTTCAACAGTTCATGCCAAAATCAAGATTCTTAGAGCGAGTTCTTATAATCTGATTCAATTTGGATATCTCTTTAATGTGAAGATGTGAGATAGTTGGAAAGTATCTGTGGTCGGACTAATTTAGGGAATGATCATAGATTTATAATTTAGGAATACTCTTTTCATTAAGGTGAAGCATTTTGGAGAAACCCAAAATATTCCCACCACAAAGCCATGTAAGCTTAGTGAACAATATCATACCATTGTGGAGAGTCGTGTTTATCTAGCAGTATCTACTTGATTTGTGGTTCCTGTCTAGGCCACCTCTTCTATTGATTTTCCCGATCTCAATGGACCTTAGGGATTTTAGGGATTTGCTCTCTTTCATTTCATTTTGGATCTTAGGGATTTTCTCTGTGTAGGAGGTGTATAGGATTCTAGAGTTTTGCTCCAGGTATGACTCGGTTTGATTCGGTTTCCTTGTCTCTTTGTTTTTTTCTTTTATCAGATTATGATCCTGTATGCGTAGTCTTTGTTCCTGATATGATTGACTGATCGGTTGTTATTACTTCGACAATGTATTTATAATTGCTGGATATCGGAATCATAAAAAATGAAAATTTCTCGTGATTCATTCGCATTTTGCTAAACCTCTCTTTTATTTCTTCTTTTGATCACTAATGGGCATAACTTATGAAAGATTATTGTGTTCACAGAATCATTCCAACCAAAAAGTAGAAATTTAATGCAAATACCCAAACTAGGATGTTTACTGGCATTTGCATTTTGTTATTGTACTATTGTGCACCTTCACTAATGTGGATCCGTTCTATTTCAAACCACTTTCAACATTCGTTGATCTCTTGTATGAAGGCAGGGGCTCCCTTCTGTAATGCCATATTTTTTGTAATAAATAAAATATCTTTTCCTTTCCCTTTGATTTTTTTTTATTATTTCTGTTTCAATCTTTCTTTCCGTATAATAAATAAAATAGAAGTAATAAAGAAAAACGAATGGCAAAAAACGGGGGAAAAAAAAAAGCTTGACTTGCCGTTAAAACCCTATTTCACTTCAGCTACCCCCTCCCCCCATTGCCCGCCACTGCACCCCGCCTGACGCTCGGGGTTCTTGCCCGACACAGTCTCAGCGGCTACCGCCGCACGCTGCACTCTCGGCTGCTGTCAGCCTTCCCTCGAAATTTCCGTCGGTGGTTCAGCACCAATCCCTCGCCGTTGGTGCGATCGCATCGCCGCCACTCATTTGCCAGTTCCCCCCAAGGTTATATATTTTGTTTCGCTTATTCTCTTCACCCACGGAGAAGAAAGTTGAGAACCTTTCTTTTTTGTTGATTTCTTCTTCAACCAATGTTCACCTAGATTTCAAATTCCTTAGATTTGAAATTAAAACAAGAATGTATAACTTAGATTTAAAATTCCTTGTTTTTCTTTTTCATCCAAGCTCTGGGGTTCCAAAGAGTGGTAAACTTGCGTTTAAATTTATAATCCAAGTAAGCCGAGCGTTTTCGCAGGGGGTGGGAGTATGTTAAATTTCTGGACTATTTAGCTTTTTAGAGAGATTGTTTCTCCGTTTCAGTCGATCTTCTGAATATATAAGTTGCAGTTCTTTGATTTTCTTTTGTTGCAGGAAATTTAGGCTTGTTATTCGATCAAGAAAAGAATGAGGTTAGAGAAGTGTTGGTTCTGTTCCTCCACTATATATCCAGGACATGGTATTCAATTTGTTCGCAATGATACGAAGGTAAGATTTAACCAACCTTTTGTGATTTGTTGTTTGTGATGCATATTAGGCTGTTGAAGTTGATAATTTTTCTTGTTAAACTAGTGATGATGGACAGGGAGCCCTATGTTTCTACTTCCTAATCTGATTTTTCTGCAGATTTTTAGATTTTGTCGGTCAAAATGCCACAAGAACTTTAAGATGAAGAGAAATCCCCGCAAAGTAAAATGGACCAAGGCCTATAGGAGGTTGCATGGAAAGGATATGACACAGGACTCAACTTTTGAGTTTGAGAGGAAGCGCAATAGGCCGGAGAGATGTGACAGGAATCTCACGGAAGAGACACTGAGGGCTATTAAGAAGATTGATAAAGTCAGAGCAGAAAGGGAGTCGAGGCACATTGCACGCAGGTTTTAAATTTCTTCCATTCCCGTTTGTTGTATGCCTATATATTTTGTGAACACTGCTTCTTCTGGTGTAACTCGGGATCGTTCGCGTTTGCAGAATGCAAGGAAAGAAAGCAAAGGAACTCAGAGAGGCAAAGAAGGAATTGGATCAGAGCATCAGTTTGGTCAAAGCTCCTCTTGCTCTCAAGGAGGATCCTTCCCTCATCCTTCCAAAGATCAAACTCAATGTGGAACCATCACAAGCAGAGCAAAATCAGAGTATGGAAGAATGAGTTTGTTACTCTTATATCACTATATCAAATATTTACGTCGTAATTACTTTTTCACATATCTCGAACTGCTACAATTCTTATGCAGTGGTAGATTGTCATTGTTTGTTCTATAGAATTTCATTTTGAGAATGTTTCTTTAATCATTTCTTGCTGCTTTTTTTGTCTTGCTTCTTTCGTACATTTTGTTGAAAAGGGTATTTGGAGATTAGATCATAGGTGGTTGAGGACTAACACGGGTATAGGTCAACCTCACCCTGCAAACCATATTGTACTTCAAGGTTTTAAAACGTGTCTCCTAATTCATGTGTGACCCAAGAAGTTGGAAGGAAAAAAGTATAAATTTGTGAACTAATTTTGGGTAAAATAATTAAATATTAAAATTCAGATAAACAATAAAAACTAAAACTTTTTATATACCTTACTATTAGAGGTGGCTTCATGTGAAAAATATGTTCTTACAAATACATCTCAATCGAAAGACCATGACACTTAACATCTACGGTTCCAATCACCTATATGTACACAAGACGAACTAACACATGTAACTCAAGAAGTTCAATAGGCATTTAAGAATTTATTAAAAAAAAAAAAAAAAAAGAGAACTCGAGCTTTCACATTCTCAACCAAAGAGGTTTCTCTTGGAGCAGCAGCATATTCTCCTCTAGGAATGATTGCCAATGTTATCTTCAATCTGATGCCCATCAATTAAGTTAAAAACGATCCGAGAATAAGAGCCTGTTCTCGACTCGGCATTGGTACACAAGTTACAGCAGTCTTGATCGGGAACTTGAAACTCAGTGCAAATGTTCAATCTTGCCTCTCGACGTCTCCAAACTCTTCTGGTTCGGGGACAATTTCATTGGATATCCTTTTATTTGAAGATGAGAAATCATATCCACAGCTGCCATGGGAGCTTAATCTTCCTGGTTGTTTAGAGCCACTGCCGTTTTCTCTATTTACATCTGATGAGCTGCGCCTCCAGCTACCATGAAAAGCAGAACTCCAAGATCTTCTTGATGAAGTTGTGCGCAGCCTGCCGGAGCTAGAGAGTTCTTCCCTGACTACTTTCAAAGGATTTTCCAATGCCTTAAGGATGTATCTCATGAGGGGTCGTCTAGATGGTTTGGGGTTCAGGCACGACTTGGCAATGATCGCCATTGCCCATACCTCTTCCAATAGATCGTCGTCTATCATCAACGATGGATCGACTATCTGTGTTACGAGTTCCTTATCATGGATACTTATGTTAGATAAGGTGTGTTCCAACCACTCCTTTGTTGTAGCATCTTCTTCTGCTTTGCTGATACTAAGTTTTCCCGTCACAAGTTCTAACAATACTTTACCAAAACAGTGAACGTCCTGCGAACAGGATGCTGGTGAGGAGCCTGTATGCACAACAAATTGGTTAG